ACCCCCGGGCCTGGCTCCAGGGTGGGGCCCCGGCTGCGCCATGCCGGGCGACGTCACGGGACTCGATCTTTGTCTGATCATAAGGGGCTCTTGAACCGCTTTTAGTCTGACCCATCACCCAGGACCTGTTTGCCTTGGGAGACCCTACCAGGGACATATAGCCCCCGACAACATAGCTCCTAGGATCACTCGGGTACTCAAACCCCTCCACCACAATAAGGTGGTGGTTCAAGGAGGGTTCAAGGAGGGTGATGGACGAGTCACCCAGGACAACAGCTTGTGAGAATTGACAATGTGTAGATTTGAGTTGACCCAATGACCCCAGGCCACAGGTTATCCTATCTTAGCTATGACTATACCTATATCTAAGTTATCTGAAATGAACCTGCAAGGATTTAACAAAAATTGGTGTTGAGGTTGAAGGTTCAGCACCACTTTAGTCAAGGTCAAGGTGATAGTCAAGGCTAATGCTGCTAAAACGGAGCACTGACATTTCCAACTCTCTGCCGAGCCAACAAATTACATATACCTATTGGCTATAAACCAGATAAAGATGACTCAGACTAACGCCAAAGAGGTTAGAAGGGCCCAGACTGTTGAGGACCATGCAGCCTCACTTAATCTATTTCTAGGTCACTATCACATTTTGTGCCCTCAGAGCTATTCTGGTTCTTCACCAATCTACTGACCACAGATAAGTGCCAGTGACAAGTTTAGGAGGAATTTCCACTGTAATAACTGCATGCATGTGTGTGCACGCACGCACACACACACACACACACACACACAGTTCTGCAATTTTCAGTACATACATTTAATTTACTATACAATCACACAAGTTATATTAATAAACGTAGCACATGGCATGAGAGACATGAGATGCACTGGTCAAAAAGTTAAACTGGGAGTTTCTCTTATTATCCATATTACAGGTAACAAGATACTTTTAGTTGTGACAAGAGATCAGTCCTGTAATAATTTGCTCTTATATCAACAATGAAAAAGCCTGGAATTTAAACTCTTCTCAGATTGAGGTTAGTTGTCGTAAATATTCACACTGAAACTTGTTTGAACCTTAAACCTGTGGCCTCAGACACTGATAGCAAACCCTCATTTACACCAGATGAAATGACCCACAAAACAAACTTTCAAACAATAAAATTTTCAGTTATTAAAACATTAGACATGGTGTTGTTCACTACATGCATCAGATCCCTTAAAGGTCAAATTCCACTTCAGTTCCCCGGCAGGTGTACGGAAATTATTCAGGTTCGAATTATTCCTTTCAAGTTTTCCATATTTTGTTTTGTTTCAGACCCGTATTAAAATGGATTCAATAAAATATTTTTCCTCATCAATCTACACACAATACTCCACAACAATAAAGTGAAAATAGGTTTTTGAATTTGCATGTAACTAACCCAGAAGTCAAGGAATAAAACACTGGCAGCAGATATGCCAGCACTTGATTGGTATTTTACAGTGCCTCTACTGTACTTTCTTTTAACAGTACCCTATATTAGATTACCCCATGACAGCCAAAAGAAAGCATACACATTCAATAATATATAATAAATATTGTTGTAGGTTATTATAGTCTCCGTGTCCAGAGATCGGGTTGTCGGGGCCCCTGCCTTCGACCGCTGCCCAATCCACTGTGCACCGGCCCCTTATGGATCCTCCTGCAGGTGGTGGGCCCACGGGAGGACGTCCCCACA